ATCTCACAATTTCCAACTTTCTCTGACAATTTTTATATCAAAAATGTTGAATTTTTTTTGTCCTGTATCACCCAGTCTTGGTCTCATTCTGATATCTTATATGGTTTTTTGAGGAAGTGATGGGCGTACCCTCCACCTCTCCCATTGACTGATATACAAATTCAGGAGCAGGTGTTACTGGGCAGAAATGGCTCCTTGTTGTCAGAGAACCATTTGCCTGATGAAGGTCTAAGACCAAAATGTCGCAATAAATTGTTTGCTGCAAGTCAGACAGTGTGCAGAGTTTTTCATTGCCACTTCTGTTACTTTGTCATTTCTAAGGCAGGTAACTTCCCTTCCTGACATCAGGATTTTTTAATACCAAACAGATTCCAACAGATTATAGAGAAGTTTATATTCATGAGGTTACAGCACAGAAATGATGGTCACTGCACAGCCAGTTCATTGCAAACCATTTACATGTTTAATGATACCCATACATTTTTAAACACTGGAACAGCTCATGAAAAATACTAAAAGCAGTGGAGCCTAGTGCCAATGACATCCAAACACCAACACATAAACACGACTCTCTGATATATATTTTTTTACTTTACATCTTTTTACAGTCCTTTGTTCTTTCGTTGAGAACGAAGAGTGATTGAGATTAACGGTTGCACCTCGGGTGTTAAAACACTGCAGGTCACATCAACTGGGCTTCGTACCTAAATAATTTAGAAATTAAGTTGTAGAAAACAAACCTCATGGTCTGTCCTCTGGACAGTAGCACATTACATCTCCCCGTCTATGTAAATACATAGTGTATACTGACAGTTAGCTTGACATACGTAATCATTAAGCACCATCATACATGAGAAGATGCAGACCTGCATAACAACACTTATTCAACAAAGTGCCAACATTAACCATTCAACAGCAGAAGGCCACTCAGTCAGGACACTATAGCTATGTGAGTAATGGGGGGCTGTACGTGATGAACACATCATGACAAACAGTGTGTGTCAGCACTCCCTCCAGATTCAGGAAAAGTTTAAGGAAGAGTTGTGGGAACATTTAAAGTGCTTCAAAGGAGGAGTCTGACATTTTGGAGAGCACACTTTCTTGTCGTTCTTGTTCACAGTCGAGAAGAAGACTGTATATCATTTCTGAGCATACAGTACAGAGACAGGTCCAGCACGTGGTTAGCCTACATTAGCAAAAAGGACCAGAGGCAGGTATAATCAATTAGCTTGCTAGCTAGCTTCATCAAAAAAATGACTCACAACAACTCCAAAGCTGAAGAAGTACTGTATCTCAGACACTTTTCAGACCAGGTCTAGACCACACTCTGTCATCTTCACCAGTGTAACGGCATAGAAGTGTGCACACTTGCACACATGTAAGCTGAGTAAGCTGAGTTAACAGCTGTGAAGCAAAAACAATAGCTGTGGAAACACAAAGGCTCGATCATGTCTCAGTTTGAACATTAGCAAGACAACAGGTTGGTTCTTTACTAAGACCACTGAACAGCTTCTAATGGCAATTCATAGTCACTGAACTTGAATATCTCTGAGTAAAAATCCAAATTTTAATTCTACTGTAAAAATCCATTAAGTAGTCAAAACATTTCTACATTTCCCACATGTACGGTGGCCCTGAGGGCTCACCACACTGCAACTTAAAGAGGATCTATTATAGCCATTTTTAGTGTTCATCATTTCATTCTTTGTGTCAACTAAAATAGATTTACATGTTTTAATGTTCTGAAAAGACATTATTTTTCTTTGTCTGTACTCTCTCTGTTAGAGCTCAGTGCTCTATAAGGCCCCCCTCCTCCCTCTTACTGGCAACTACCATGGCAACGACATGTTCCACACAAACGGTTGTGGCGGCTTCGGTTCTGCCTTATCAGTTTGCTCAAGAGTTCGATCCTGAACCAGAAGATGACAGACCCGATCCACCTTCACAAGCTGGACTGGAGCAGAAAACAAGCGTACCCACTGTTCTGCGGCTGGAGGGAGGGAGAAATATGAAGAGAGCTGCGAATAGAGACGCTGGACAGTCTGCATAGACTTAGGATGACAATATCCATAACTTGGAATATTTTTATGAGAAACCCTTTTGATTTTTTATGTGTGGACACTTCCAGACTAAAGGAATATAAGTAATGGAGGGACAGACAGTGGACAGGTAGGGTGTCTCCAGCGCCTCACCTCCTGCTGGTTTACAATGGTTTAAATCTGAATGAATTTAACGTTAGTGGGCATAGTTACTGAAAAAGAACTCAGCGGTTAAACTGTGGATAATTTATCTGAGCTAACGAGGTACAGCATGTCAATACTGACCAACGTTTAATCATTTATAGCTTTGCTATGCTGCTTCTTCCTAACATGATCAGGTCACGATTGGGTCACGGGAATGCAGTTAACAGCCACAATAACAATGCAGACTGACAGGCTGTGAGGCTGAGTCACCTGTTCAGCCACATCAAGAGTGAATAAGAAATAACCGTTGTGAAAATGAAATGTCTAACTGTGCATGGTTTCTGAAGATGTCCTCCTTGAAGAGCGGGCTCACACTATAATATTTGGAGCAGTGGAGAACCATGGAAAAATGATGTAGATTTCTGCAGGAAATTAAGAACACTGTCTGTCATGGCTATAAAACTAATAAAAACTCTTCATTATAAGTAGTTATGTGCTGTGCCTTGTGTGGGGGCATGCCGAGCTTGCAGGTAGGCAGCACCAAGAGAAGTACTGACGTAAATAGGACCAGGAAGTAATGTCTGGACCCCCAAAGACGTGTTTCATACAAATGAGAAAATTGTGTTTTTACCCTGACAGAGTTACTCCCTTTGATGTGAACTTTGATCCTTGTGACTCTGGAGACCATTTTCATGCACAAAAACCTATGTAACACACTATAAGTAAGGAAAACTCAGAAAAGCATAATAGGTCCCCTTTAAGAAAACACATGCAAATACAGAAAGGTGCTGCAAGTAGCACAGACGACAACGGAAGTGTTTCCAGGGGACACAAGTTCCCAGTTCAGGGGCAAAACCCTCTGGAGTATGCAGTCTATGAAGGCATGGCCCTTTGTATCTGCCGTAGACCATGACAGCCGAAAAGAAATTAAATGGTCAGCTTCGCTGTGCGTCACCAGCTGTGCCCGCTCTTACTGTGGCATCGCAAAGTACAGCTCCTGTTCTCGAGCAACCTTGACAACACGTAACTTTCTTCACAAAAACTTTTAGGTTTTTTTGAGGTTTAAGGCCCGCAGTTTTACTGTTAGCAGCTGAACTGAGCTGAAACACAATACTTAAATTTAAAAATTGTTGCTGCCATATTGTTTTCATTACCAGTACGCAATGATTCATGGGATATGTTGGAACATGACGGACCTGCCTGTTTGGAGACTTTGTTGTCCAGGAAAAGAAGGACCTGTTTGAAGGAGCCTTTGAAATGGAACGGTCTAGTCTCTCTGCTGTGATGCCGTCCATCTTCAGACACAGCCTCTGAAGGACGAGACCCTAAGCGGAGACACAGCTGATGTTCTGTGATCTGTGTGTTTTCTTCAGGTGCAGTGTATTGAGCCCTCAGGGCCACCGTCCTCCTGTGTTACATTCTGGGGTCATTAAAACACTCAAGCTTAAACATTCTGACAAAAAGCCAGATCAGTATCATCAGGCTGCAGCTAACGATTCTTCTCATTAACAATTATTCTGATATTTTTTTCTCCATTAAAAGTCAAAAAAATGAAAAATTCATCGACCTTGAAGAAAGATTAAGCTAATTGTCTCATCAATTGTCTTGGTCTTACACTCTCCTGTGTGCGTGTGTGTGTGTGTGTGTAAAAACAGCTTTGGAGTTGTTGGATTGGGTCTGTTTCTCTTTTAACTGAGCTAAGCTAACTGAGCTAAGCTAACTGAGCTAACAGAGGCTGGAGGTGTGTGGAGATGTGAAACCACAGAGGATAAGGCAGATTAGATTTCTTTTAGTAACAGCTGCTGCAGCTCTGATTCATTTAAAATCTAATAAGTCAGGTGATCACTTGCACACCACGGAACAGTCAGCTGATCAGAGGACAGTTCACAGTGTCACCAGACAACGTACTCCAAACCTAACCATGACCTTCTGCACACGTGTTCACTATGGTGTTATCAACACTGTCTAAGGCTGTCTCTGTCCACTCTGTCTGTCCACTCAGTCCACTGTGTCAGTCCACTCCGTCTCAGTCCACTGTGTCTGTCCACTGTGTCTCAGTCCACTCTGTCAGTCCACTCCGTCTCAGTCCACTGTGTCTCAGTCCTGGACTGAAGCAGTCATGGACTGAAGTGTTATCAACACTGTCTGAGGCTGTCTCTGTCCAATGAGTCCAGTGGCCACTGTCTCAGTCCACTGTGTCTGTCCAGCATGTCTCAGTCCACTCTGTCAGTCCACTCCGTCTCAGTCCACTCCGTCTCAGTCCACTCTGTCAGTCCACTCCGTCTCAATCCAGTCTGTCAGTGTGTCAGTCCACTCTGTCTCAGTCCTCGACTGAGTCAATCATGGACTGAAGTGTTATCAACATTGTCTGAGGCTGTCTCTGTCCACTCTCTCTGTCCACTCAGTCCAGTGTCTCAGTCCACTGTGTCTGTCCACCGGTCTGTCCACTGTGTCTAAGTCCACTGTGTCTCAGTCCATTGTGTCTGTCCACTGTGTCGCAGTCCACTCTGTCTTAGTCGACTGTGCCTGCCCACTGTGTCTCAGTCCACTCTGTCAGTCCACTCTGTCTCATCAGTCTACTGTGTCTCAGTCCACTGTGTCTCATCAGTCTACTCTGTGTCTCTTCAGTCTACTCCGTGTCTCAGTCCACTCTGTGTCTCAGTCTGGCACACAGAGTAAGAAAAGGTTTAGAAGTACACCTGTAAGTTCACGTTACAGCTATGATCCAGGACAGACATCTACAGTCATCAGAGGACACATTGTCTTCTGGTCTGTTCCTGTTGGTCAGTCTGTGTGGGATCAGATTCAATAGTCAGTCTACAGGCCGCACTGGGACTGCTGCCGGTGTCTGCGGACACTGCACATCTGGCTGAAGGACTGTCCGCAGCGCGAGCAGCTGTAGGGCTTCTCCTGCGTGTGGACTGTGCGGTGTCTCTTAAGGTGGCTGGATGAGATGAAGCTCTTCCCGCACAGCGTGCATCGGTACCGCCTCTCTCCAGTGTGGATAAGGAGGTGGACCCGCAGGTTGTTGGGCTGGGCGAAACCTTTTCCGCAGTGGGGGCAGGTGTAGGGCCTCTCCCCGGTGTGCACCCGTTGGTGCAGCTCCAGAGCTGCTGTGCTGGGGAAGACACGGCCGCACACGGCACACACAGCAGGGTCTTTAGCGGCGGTGGAGCTCCTGTAAGGCCGCCGCTGGCTGGTCGTGGTGGCAGAGGGAGCTGATGGGGGAGGGGGAGGAGGAGGTGGTGGAGGTGGTGCAACCACGACAGCAGCAGCAGCGGCAGCGGCGGCAGCCATGTCAAAGGAGGCGGCAAAAGCAGCCATTTCATGAGCTCCACCAGTGAAGAGCATGGTGGGAGGATCAAGACTGTCTCCTCCTCCCTGGGGAGGGAAGGAGGCAGACGAGTGTCCAGTGTCTGTGTTCCCCAAACCCAGCTGAGCGACTGCATATGCTGCTCCAAGATGGCTGACCCGCTCTTGCATCCAGGCCAGGTCCAGGCCCAGGCCGCTGAGGCGCTCTGGGCTGGGCTCATCTGATGCCACAGGCAGCTGGGAGGGAGGAAGTTCTTCTTCTACGGTGTCATCCGTCTGGACCTCTGGCTTCAGAGTGCCGTCTGTATGGCTTGCTCTGAGGTCCCTGCAAGCGGCTTCAGGGGCCAGGACTCCCCCGCTGCCCACGGTCAAACCGCCCAGAGGCTTGGTGGATTTACGTTTGGCTCGAGGCTTGCAGGTCAGGTCCATGGAGGTGTTGGTGGGGGAGGGGGTGGGGTGTATGGAGGAAATACCAGTGTCAAGAATATCACTGGGGGGGGGCTCTTCACTGGGCTCCAGGGCTGGGGAGGAGCAGAGAGCCACAGAGGGAGGGGGTGAGTGAAAAGAAAGAAAAAAAGGAAAGAAAAAATTGTTGTTCAATTTCTCTCAGAGAACTGAGGAGGTCTGAAAATCTGCTTCAGGGACGACTCTAGACCACATTAGATCTAGCAGTCTTAACCCTTCCTTCACTTTGTCCTCACTCTGTCCCCACAGTGTCTTCCATCTTCCTTCATTCTGTCCTCACGCTGTCCTCAATCTGTCCTCACTTTTCCTTCACTCTTCCCTTACTCTTCCTTCACTCTGTCCTCACACTGTCCCCACTCTTCCTTCACTCTGTATGCACTCTGTCCTAAATCTTCACCCACTCTGTCCTCACTCTTCCTTAACTCTGTCCTCACACTGTCCTCATTCTTGCTTCACTCTGTCCTCACTCTTCCTTCACTCTGTCCTCACTCTGTCCTTACTCAATCCTAGGTCTTCCTTCACTCTGTCCTCACTCTTCCTTCACTCTGTCCAAACTCTGTCCTCACACTGTCTTCACTCTTTCTTCACTCTTTCCTCTCTTCCTTCACTCTGTCCTCTCTCTTCCTTCAATGTGTCCTCATTCTTCCTTCACTCTTCCTTAGCTCTGCCCTCAAACTGTCCTCTCTCTGTCCTCAGTGTCCCCACACTGTGCTCCATCTTCCTTTACTCAGTCCTCAATATGTCCTCACACTGTACTCATTCTGTCCTTACTCTTCCTTCACTCTGTACTCACACTGTCCCCACTCTTCATTTACTCTGTCTTCACTCTTCCTTAACTGTGTCCCCACTCTGTCCTTTAACTATCTTCACTTTGTCTTCACTCTTCTTTCACTCTGTCCTCACACTATCGTCACTCTGTCCAGACTCTGTATTAACAGTTCTCAATCTGTCCTCACTCTTCCTTAACTCTGCTCTCCCTCTTCCTTCACTCTGTCCTAAATCTTCCCCCACTCTGTCCCCACTCTTTCTTCACTCTGTCCTCATTCTGTTCTCACACTGTCCCCACTCTGTCTCCACTCTATCCTCAAACTGCCCTCACTCTGTCCACACTCTGTCATCACTCTGTCCGCACTTTTCTTTCGCTCTGTCCTCACCCTGTCCCCACTCTTTACTCACACTGTCCTCACTATTCCTTAACTCGTTCCTCACTCTTCCTTCACTTTGTCCTCACACTGTCCTTCACTCTTCCTTCACTCTGTCCTCACTCTGTCTTAGTCTTCCTTCACTCTGTCCTCACCCTGTCCAGACCCTATCCTCACACTGCCCTCACTCTGTCCACATTCTGTCCTCACTCTGTCCGCACTCTTCCTTCAATCTGTCCTCACACTGTCCTCACCCTGTCCCCATTCTTTACTCAAACTGTCCTCCCTATTCCTTAACTCGTTCCTCACTCTCCTCCTCCACTCTCCCTCACTGTCCTTCACTCTTCCTTCACTTTGTCCTTAATCTGTCTTAGTCTTCCTTCCCTCTGTACTCACTCTTCCTTCACTCTTCCTTAACTCTGTCCTCATTCTTCCCTCACTCTTACTTCACTCTGTCTTCACTTTTTCTTACCTCTGTCCTCAGTCTTCCTTCACTCTATCCCCACTCTGTCTCTGTCCTCACCCTGTCCCCACCCTATCCTCAAACTGCCCTCACTCTGTCCTAACTCTGTCCGCACTCTTCCTTCACTCTGTACTCACTCTGTCCGCAGTCTTCCTTCACTCCGTCCTCACACTGTCCTCACTCTTCCTTCACTCTTTCCTCACACTGTCCTCAAACTGTCCTCACTCTGTATTCACTCTTCCTTCACTCTGTCCTCACACTGTTCCCACTCTGTCCTCAAACTGTCCTCACACTGTATTCACTCTTGCTTCATTCTTTCCTCACTCTGTCCTAACCCAGTCCCCACTCTATCCTCAAACTGCCCTCACTCTGTCCACACTGATTCTTACCTCTGTCCTCATTTTTTTATCACTCTGTACTCACTCTTCCTTCACTCTGTCCTCCCTCTTCATTCTCTCTGTCCTCACTCTTCCTTTAGTGTTCCTTCACCCTTCCTTCATTCTGTCCTCACTCTTCCTTAACTCTGTCATCACTCTGTCCTCACTCTTCCTTCAGTCTGTCCTCAAACTTTCCTCACTCTGTCCTCACACTGTGCTCACTCTTCCTTCTTTCTGTCCTCACTCTTTCCTCACAATGTCCTAACTCTTGCTTCACTCTGTCCTACCTATTCCTTCACTCTGTCCTCAAACTATCCTCACTGTCCTCACTCTGTCCACACACTGTCCTCCATCTTCCTTCACTCTGTCCTTGCTCTTTCTCACTTTTTATTACCTCTGTCCTCACTCTTTCTTCACTCTGTCCTCACTCTTCCTTCACTCTGTCCTCACTCTTCCTTCACTCTGTCCTCACTCTTCCTTAACTCTGTCCTCACTCTTCCTTCGTTCTGTCCTCAAACTGTCCTCACTCTGTCCTCACATTGTCCTCACTCTGTTCTCACGCTTTCCTCACTTTTTTATTACCTCTGTCCTCACACTGTCCTCAGTCTTCCTTAACTCTGTCCTCACAGTCCTCAATCTTGCTTCACTCTGCCCTCACATTGTCCTCACTCTGTCCTCACACTGTCCTCCATCTTCCTTCACTCTGTCCTCGCTCTTTCCTCACTTTTTATTACCTCTGTCCTCATTCTTTCTTCACTCTGTCCTCCCTCTTCCTTAACTCTGTCCTCACTATTCCTTCACTCTGTCCTCAAACTGTCCTCACTCTGTCCTCACATTATCCTCACTCTGTCCTCACTTTTTATTACCTCAGTCCTCAAACTGTCCTCACACTGTCCTCAGTCTTCCTTAACTCTGCCCTCACTGTGTCCTCAATCTTTACTCACTCTGTCCTCACTCTTTCTTCACTCTGTCCTCCCTCTTCCTTAACTCTGTCCTCACTATTCCTTCTCTCTGTCCTCAAACTGTCCTCAATCTGTCCTCACATTATCCTCACTCTGTCCTCACTTTTTATTACCTCAGTCCTCAAACTGTCCTCACACTGTCCTCAGTCTTCCTTAACTCTGTCCTACCTATTCCTTTACTCTTCCTTCACTCTGTCCTCACTCTTCTTTCACTCTGTCCTCAAACTATCCTCACTCTGTCCTCACACTGTCCTCCATCTTCCTTCACTCTGTCCTCGCTCTTTCTCACTTTTTATTTCCTCTGTCCTCACTCTTCCTTCACTCTGTCCTCAAACTGTCCTCACTCTGTTCTCACTTTTTATTACCTCTGTCCTCACACTGTCCTCAGTCTTCCTTAACTCTGTCCTCACACTGTCCTCAATCTTGCTTCACTCTGTCCTACCTATTCCCTCACTCTGTTCTCACTTTTTATTACCTCTGTCCTCACACTGTCCTCAGTCTTCCTTAACTCTGTCCTCACACTGTCCTCAATCTTGCTTCACTCTGTCCTACCTATTCCTTCACTCTGTCCTCAAACTATCCTCACATTGTCCTCACTCCGTCCTCACACTGTCCTCCATCTTCCTTCACTCTGTCCTCGCTCTTTCCTCACTTTTTATCACCTCTGTCCTCACTCTTTCTTCACTCTGTCCTCACTCTTCCTTAACTCTGTCCTCACTATTCCTTCACTCTGTCCTCAAACTGTCTTCACATTATCCTCACTTTTTATTACCCCAGTCCTCACTCTGTCCTCACACTGTCCTAAGTCTTCCTTAACTCTGTCCTCACACTGTCCTCACTCTTGCTTCACTCTGTCCTACCTATTCCTTCACTCTTCCTTCACTCTGTCCTCACTCTTGCTTCACTCTGTCTTACCTATTCCTTCACTCTTTCTACACTCTGTCTTCAAACTGCCCTCACTGTGTCCTCAATCTTTACTCCCTCTGTCCTCACTCTTCCTTCACTCTGTCCTCAAACTGTTCTTACTCTGTCCTCACATTGTCCTCACTCTGTTCTCACTCATTCCTCACTTTTTACCTCTGTCCTCACACTGTCCTCAGTCTTCCTTAACTCTGTCCTCACTCTGTCCTCACTTCTTATTACCTCTGTCCTCACTCTTTCTTCACTCTGTCCTCACTCTTCCTTCACTCTGTCCTCAAACTATCCTCACTCTGTCCTCATTGTCCTCACTCTGTTCTCACTCTTTCCTCACTTTTTATTACCTCTGTCCTCACACTGTCCTCAGTCTTCCTTAACTCTGTCCTCACACTGTCCTCACTTCTTATTACCTCTGTCCTCACTCTTTCTTCACTCTGTCCTCACTCTTCCTTCACTCTGTCCTCACATTGTCCTCACAC